TATATATATAGTATACCAAAAATCAAAATATCCTTTCAAACGCAGAGGATTTCAGGTTCATTTAAATATATTGAGGAATTTCAATTTTGGACAAAATCGGCTGAAGGGTTTAGGCGCAGACAGTGAGACGTTTTGTTATCAGCCGATGTTTCAAGGACTCACAAAACGTGGATTGTGGCCATACAACGTGTTGAAGGAATATGGTAAAGGAAATAATATCCACAAAATAATTTTAATAATTTTTATTAATAATTTTCCAGAGTTAACTTACGAGAAAACACTTTTCCCATCTTTAGTGGATCTTGCCCAAGCAACGTGGATCTCCCATGAATGTTCACAACATGGTCAAAAAAGGTGAAAACAGCAAAACATGCTGATTCCAAAAGATGTCTTCCACCTAGCTATAACCAGCATGTGTTGTGGGAGATCCACGTTGCTTGGGCAAGATCCACTTAGGATGGGAAAAGTGTTTTCCCGAAAGTTATCTCTGGAAAATTATTAATAAAAATTATTAAAACTTTTGTGAAGATTATTTACTTTACCATATTATGGATTATCACAAGATATCTGCTACCACCACAGAAATGTTAGAGGAAGTTATTTACTACACACAATAACAAAGTATCGCCCTTTTCTTTACCAGGACCCGTCAATAAATTTATTTTCGACGAAAATTCGCAGATTTCCGGCACTCGATTACAATACTTTCTCTCCTTACGGAATAAGGGAAAGAAAGTAAAAATTTTTTAAAATATTTTTTTAGAATTTGAACGACTCAAAATGATGAAGGAAAATATTACCAGAAGAACTATGATCAACATCTCCCTTTCTCTTATAAACTGAACTTTTCTGGGCTTTTTTCAATGCCGCCGTTAATACATTTTTATATCTCATGCCCGTCTGTAGCTGAAGTTTCTCGTTTCTAAGTCAATGCCAGAGGGCCATCGGAGGGGCCGCAGGGCCGAGACGCGGCGCCCGTGGCCCATTTGCTGGGAGGCGGGGGTGACGGCCGGGCGCACGGGAAGGGCCTTTGGGTCAGGGCCGCGCGGTCGCCGTTTATTTCGATCCTCCGTTGCGAAATGCGACCTCAAGTCGGGCTCGAAGCCGTCAATGGGCTCAGGCTCCCTTCACGCGGAGCCAGGCGCTGGCGCAACCGCGAGGCGACTCGGTCCTTCGCACGCAGCCTCCCACCGCGAGCGGGGAAGGCTTCGCGAGTCATGCCGCCGTGGCCTCTGTCGCCCGAAACGCAGGCAACAGGTAAAATCCTGTCTGTGCGAATGATGCCATTTGAAACCGTGTTCTGCTGGCCGTGGTGAGGACGCGCGTCTGCGCTACTGGTGGCAGGAGTTCGCAACCGAACGCCACAGCAGACTTCGCCTGGGTCGTGTGAATACCTCCATGCAGACCAATGCTTTGCCAGCAGACGCACCACTCAGAAGCGCTTCTGAGTGGCGCTCTGTGAAGGGCTCTGACACCAGATAGCACGAAGCTACCTACGAAGCGGGCTCCGGATCGCACGCGATCTCTCTTCCACCTTCCTCGTACTATCCTCTCCTCTTACTCAGACACGCGCTTAAATCCACCCATCCCGGTTAGGGGCTGTACTCCGCCGGAGGAGATACGTGGAGGGGAAACCCACAGCAAGCCGAAGTGTAGGACGGCGCCGGATCTCACTGCGCAGTGAAAGCCGCCTCCCCCGGTACAAAACATTCCCTACACTTACGGCGGTAATGACAATTGACGTGCCTGAAAACGTCAACCCATCAAGCTCCATTCAGAATCTCTTACCATTCCATTATTTTTTTCCCTTTAGCCACTCTTGTATCATCTACACCAATGATGAATTAATATATTTTTATTTCACAACAAACAACCTATT